ATTGTTGCACACTGATATGCAAACTGGATTGCGGTATATCTTCAATGCACAATATGGCTCCGCGTTTGATGTAAATAGGTACTGCGCGACTGCGCATGCGCTCATGGTTACAGGTACGTACTAGTAATTCAAGGTGCACTGTGTTATCCATTATTTTCATTTTTTCATGATAATTTGTACGCTGTCAAAATAATTGTTATAGATTTCAGAACGTGATAACACTAAACAATAATGCGTCTTTACAATCAAAGTGCAAAATGTTATTTTTCAACCTGAGTAGTAATGGCGAAATGATTCCAAAACTTACCAATAACTGTGTGAGGCTTAATCGATTTAGATACTAATCAACGATGCGCAAGGTATATTAAAGATGCAATGCCAGTGAGCAGGTAATTTGTAATATTGTTGTTTGGTAATGTTTGTTTAAAGAATACATAACATTACGATGTATTGCAAATTAAATGTTGTTCTTGCAGCTCACGACTGAGTATTCGCTTAATGTAACACTGAAATTCTCCAATACGCATGCGCGCTGCTAGTTTTGAAACCTACACTATCCCAATGTACTGTACTATAACGCGTTTTATTAAACGAGTACTATTCTGTATGCCACAACAGCAACATTTTCAATTCACAATAAATCATTATCCAATTTGGTCATCAATATGCAGTACCAAACTAAACTATTTAAAACAAAACGTTCTCGTTCATAACGCACCATTAATCACATTTCACGCGTTTTTAAATGAAACAATTATTTGCAAACCATTGCCAATACAAAGTATAACATTGTACTGAGCACGGCTAGTAATATAGTTACACTCACGCTACGCTTTCCTTCTGTATTGCAGGCGTCATAGCAACTGAGCCGACGTTTACGTACGTACCAGGCGAAGAGCCAAGCTCGGCGACGTCGAGACTGTATGGAACAACCGTCTCTGTCATCAGCACTATGCAAGATGTGTTCATGCCAACGGTCACCACTGGAATGAGACCCCAACTCAACATGCAGGTACGGTAAATATGTGACAGATTTCAGATGTCATGACAACTATAATTACTACCATACATACAATAAAACGTTACGAAGAAAAAAACATGTTGATATTAACCAGAATTTTGAAAATCAGGTCGAGTAAAAATTTGATAATCTTCAACTACTATTGGTATTGTATAGTGTGATTCATTCTGTATTAAAAAGGCGTTAGTCTTTGCAGTAGTCGTCATCACGCATGTGCAATATTTGTGTTGATAGGCAGTGATTTTCCCACAACCCAATGTGCTCACAATGTGCCAAGCAAAAGTATTTTTCTGGCCGCGATGTGCACTGAATACCGACTTTAACTCTATAGATTCATTATTAATATTATTAATGCCTTAGTAGTGTCTTCTTTTTTGTACTCATCGTGAAATCTTTGTTAATATGGCGCATGCGCGGCGCGACGACCACCACCCTTTAATTTTAAAGTTACGATGATTTGTATAGCATCATGGGTAGACTGAAAAGGTAATATGCAAATATTGGGTGTTACACGTGGCTATCAAAAGACGTACTCGCATCAATAAAATTCATCATAACATTAATTCAGAAGACAACGAATCGTACTAAATACTTACCAGTTGTACGCGTCCTCTCTGACTAAATTGTTGAAATTAAACAGGCAATATGTGTATGTTTTGCTGTTGAAAAAAGCATTTCTATAAAAACAATATCATATGATTGTTTCGCATGCTGAAAATACTTTAAATTGTTTCTGCTTGCGTCTTAATATCTAGTAAGATTAGCATATTATTGTCATCGAATCTTCGTTTTTATCTCTCATAAAAGTACACAATGCAACTACTGAAGAAACTCGGCTGGACGTACATTGCGATAGTAGCAAACAGTAACGTGGCACCAATGAAAGATCAAATCGAGGCTGAGTTGGATCTGCATGACGTGTGCGTGGCTCGCTTCCTACAGGTGGAATCGGGACAGACAGATTACACTCAGTTGCTGATTGATTTGACGCCGACTGAACTGAAAGGTATGGGTGGTGAAAGAAGACTATTTCATTTATAGATAACAAACTAGCTCGTATGAATGATTACTTTGATCATTGATTTATTTATGCAAACGAGCAGGTGACAAATGGTGAAACAATCGTGAACATTAGATCATAAGCTATCGTAAATAATTCAATGCAATTTTAGAACTTGATGGTGTGACCCCAATGTCAGTAACGTATTGCCTTATGACTTACGTTTCATGTTAATCGCTATCGCTTTAGTGTTTCCCATACCTTGGCATGCATTCCTAACATTAATGGCTATTCGAATCATTGAACTATTCATTTGAAATGTGGCAGAGAAAATAAAATTTATACAAGCCCAGGAGTCAACCACGCCAACTTCAATCTAATTTATTCAGGTCTAATTCGTAAAAAAAAAAACGTTTGTTCTGTGTTATTTCTATCAAATATTAACATATTGGAGGTTCGTCTTGCGTTTTTACAGGTGTCCTAGTTCTTTTAGACGATGCTGAACAGAATAATCTTTTTAAGGCTATCGAAGATGTTGGCTCCACTCAACTGAAGGACCTCGAATGGATCATACCGACAATTGGATTGGTCCACTCGTTTAAGAGTTACAGTGACGTCACGCGTGGCGCGCTGGGGATTGGCCAACGTTCCCCTGAAGTTGAAGAATTTAAAATGTACTTTCAAGGGCTCACTCCGGACACTCACGATAATGTGAGCAATCCCTGGTTCTCCGAGTACTGGCAAACCAAGTACAGCTGTAATTTAGATGGCGGTAGCGTGTATGCCGAGGATTGTAGCGAGACACAGAATAGCCAACAAGCAAACGTTGCTTTGACTCGCGGAGTCGCCGAGGTCATGAACTCAGTAAGAGCGTTAGTCGTGGCTCTGACGCAAGCTCATATTGATTTATGCGGAAGCCCCGGAATGTGCTACGCCCTGGCGAACATTGAACATACGGGTATTGCTAGCTATCTGAAGAATGTCCATTTCACTGGTTATGGCAATATGGTAATATCATTTGACCAAGATGGATTCCTTGAAAACCCGGATGTTGTCGTTCTGAATTACAAAGAAGATGGTAACAGCGGATACCATCTCGCGGATGTGAGTACATATTTCTATACATCTACTTGTTAGTTACGCATTCTAGTGTTTATTTATTAAATTTTCACGTAACTGAATGATCATTTACCAGCGTAAACGTTTCATGTAACCCAATGTTGATTCATTCATGTTTTATGAAACCGAATTTGTCACGAAGTGTATCTCTCCCAAATATGCATCGGTTCAATATACTATCAATGAATTGAAGCTTGTAGCTTCATAATCATATGGTTATTCTTAAACAACACAGAAACGAAACGAGAACTAATAATTCAGAAATATTAAATATCCCATGTGTTTTTGGTAATGTGGGTACTTAACAGTAATGTCCATGATCCAGTGCCATGTGTTATCTAAAGTTTACGAAGTTATATAAATGCACTTTTTCAATTAAATCATGATGTTTGTCACAATTTCCTGACCATCTCACACAACGTTACGTATATACACATGTGTCCATATTCGTTTACTTTAAGTATGAATCATTAAAAAGGATCATTTTGATTCGTGTTTTCAGCTTGGTCCTGTTGTTAACCTCAACACTAATCTTGTAAGTTTCTGGGAGAATGGACTACTGCAGACTGGAACAAACGTAAAATCCGTGTGCACTGTGCCATGTACTGATATCCAGTGTAAAGTAAAGAAACAGTTCGCATCAATCACTGGTCATATTATTATCGGAGGGATGTTTTCAGTGCACGACAACAGCAGCACCCCCGACACATGCGGAGATATTAGCTTTGACGGCGTAAAAAGACTAGAAGCAATGATGTACGCTGTCGATAACATCAATAACGACCCGAACATTCTGCCTGGCATCACCCTGGGTGTGATTGGAATGGATAGCTGTAACAATGACGCTACAGTCGGGAGAAAAATAGTCGAATTACTTGGATCAGCCGATTTTAGCAGAGGGGTGGGCGGTAAAAGAACGGGTGAACTGGATGAGACGCAATATATAATGGGTGTCGTTGGTACGACTATCAATGAGCTGACTGGTGTTATGGATGGTGCCGTCAGTGCTGTCATGCTCCCACAGATTAGTTACAATATTCCGCCCGCCCTGCCGACAAGCATGAAACGTCTCCCGAACACATTCAGCACTGGCGCCCCCATTCATTATCAAGCTAAAGCGATGGTAGATATGGCAGTGGCTTTGGAGTGGTGGTACATACAGGTTATCTACTCTGACACTCCGATTGGTCATGAAGGCTTTGTAGCCATCAAAATCTTCGCTAAAGAGGTAGGTTAACCATCCCATTCGACAAAAACAAAGAACACTGATGCTGTTGGACCTCGTAGAAATGTCTGGAATACATAACACTTTCTAATGTTATAAAATACTCGAATTACCTACTAACACTACACAGTCCTTCTGTTGCAATAGCCAAATCTGCACGAAAAAATTATCCCTGCGGCATCTAAAAATAACTAAAGATGATATATTTAATCTGTAAAGAGGAGTTGTTAAGACAACTACACAATGTACCGTGAACATCGTTTTTCCCCAGAAATGATACCATCCGTACATTCCTCTAAAAATTTCCAAGGAGGGATTTTTGTGACATACTCTTGCTTCGATCCCATCTAGGTTGGTATATGTATCGCCAATTCTTTGGTGATCAAAGACGGACATAGCGACAACGAGATGAATGTCATAATCAATGCAATAAGGTCAAGAACTGATGCCAAGGGTTTGTTGGCCGTCACATCAAACACTGACAGTCGACAATTGGTGGGAAAACTATCTGATAACAAACTCGAGAAGAACTTCACACTTGTTGTTCCCCAAGATTTCCACGAAGCTTTTATGGGGTTTCCGGATGTGGCTGCTGGTGAGATTAGCTTTACTCAGGAGTATGATTAACTGCACGTTATTACACATATTTACAATATCACTCTTTCATTGAGTGTCACAATCTTTATATTGTTGGTAACTTGTCCACTCATTTAAAGTTACTTACACTGAACACCTTCCACTATAACGAAAAAAACATGGCGTAACCACTCAAAGGCTACTTTATCTTAGGAGGTTCTTAGAAATTCGATTTCACGATTCTGTTGAATTAGATTTCTGAACTGTACAAAGTTCTAATGATTCTAAAATGAGATGTAGATCATACGAAGTGATAATTTATGTATAGGTGTTACTTAATGCAATTATATGTGTTACAAACATCAGCGATGTATATACCATATGCATATAATTAAAATTATTACAATGATGGTCCACACTAGTAGAAATGTCTGTAGCACCTCTAGAGTTTTGAGAATAGTATTTAGAACATTTCAAATTACTTTCTGGTCCAAGGTGGGCTTAGCTTGAACCACGCTATTCGAATAATAATAACATGTCTGTAAGTCAACACAACATAAATTGACTATTGGGGATCAGGTTTATCGAGAATATCCAAACAAGTATAATAATGCTAAACCATACTATGCTATCAGGACTCATGGATAGAGGTTTTTTTCAGGAGGATAACCTGGTGCAGTATTGCAACATCATAGTTATAGTATCCAGCATGGTTCTTCCTCCATCATAACATATCTTTACATTACCTATAACAGTACACTAGCATATAGCTGTCACCTTTGGTCTTACAGGTACATTAATGGTTGTCCCATATGACCCACTTATACCAGACTTTCAAAACTATTTTAAGAGTCTTAAACCTGATTCAAACAGACGCAACCCATGGTTCCGAGAGTACTGGATGAAGCGCTTTCAATGCTATCTACCAGGAGAATATTCTACAGAGACGACAGCCTGTGAAGGCAAGTAGAAATCTCTAGTTTTAAAATCAACTATGATCACAATTATCGCAAGCTTGGATATATGTAAGCTAATTGAGTGGATGAGGCTCTTCTTATAATTTACCATCTTCTTAAAAAAAGTCGTACTCTAAAATTGGAGAGCAGATTTTCTGGAATCCCAGACCACCGAATTTTGATGTCTAGATTGATTTGCTTTATTTGGTTGATTAAAATAACACTGTTACAAACATGATCTCAGATGGCATGAATGTCACTTGTCCGATGTAGACCTCAGGTTTCATATGAAATTTAAATATGAATTATTTAAATAGTATATGGTAGGCGTTACATGTGAAGCAGGATCTGCTCACTCTTCCTGAAACACCTTCATGCATCCACATATCTTTCTCCAACTAATTTGACATGTCTATTGTTTTGGTTTGTTCTTGTGAATTGAAGTCAGTCCTTTGTTTGTGTCCTTATATACTTGGACTTTTGTTCAAAGATGGTAGCTGGGAATATTATTTCCATATTCTGACGTGTGTACCTTTCATTTCAGTTAACCAAGAATTATTGGCCTCGGATGGTGATGCTGATAATATTGCGGACATAATGGACTCTGTGACTGCAATAGCCAGAGGCATCGATGAACTTTATGGCGAGAAATGTCCACCTAAGACTGAAATGTGCAATGCCCTGGTGATGTCCACTCCCGATGAGCTTCTTGAAAAAATAAGAAGTGTTACTTTTGAAAGTGCAGCTTCCATGAAAACCTTTGAATTTGATGACAATGGTGATGGAGTTCCACTTTATAATATTTATAATTCACAACTAATTGGTGATACTGATGTTCTCAATAATGTACTGGTAAGTATCTTATGTGTACAATGTTTTTTTATTTGGAAAAAGTGTGTTGTAGTTAAATTATTATTGGTATTTGGTTGGTTGGTTGGTCTAGATGTGGGAGTCGATTATTCCAAAACAAAAGTGCTCAATACAAAGTATATGTAGAGCGGATAAATACGGAAATGGAGGAATTAATACACAACTATATGAATATTGAAACTCGACAGCATTGTTTCGTAAGGTACAAGTACCTCACTCATCAGGATATATGTATTCACAATATCATTTATATGTGGTATATACAAATAGTATTGTTGAAGGTCGAATTTCATTTGCCATAAAATATAGAAATATCAAACAGATACTGATACTAAGTGATGCAACACAACAACGAAAACATCCTTATTTAGTTTTTCACTTTACAAATAAATCAGGTACTTCTTCTCTGATTTTGTACTAAAATAAGGATTCTAGTTTAAGTGGCATTAATCTTTAACATTTATCTAATAAGTGTTTTTACCATTGAATTAACCCGCCTTAATGTTGGAAATGCACTTTTTGATCAATCAATGCACTCCATGCAGCATATCGGTTATAAGTCTCTGTGTATGTGACCCATCGTTATCTTTCTATTCTTGAATTTAGGTTGGCAGTTGGAGCAAGGATAATCTAACATTTGGTTATCCCGAACCAGTGACGCTGTATGGACCAGGAGGAGTGATTATTTATCCTGACCAATCCATGCCAACACAGTGCATCGGTGCATGTTCTGAATGCAAGGATAGTAGTATAATGTATTCTCATGTAGATGGAGATATTCACATTCCTGTAATGTTTGGAATTAGCAATGCCGATGACAACCCACTGCTGTGTGGAGATGTGTCTGTTGACCAGGTGGTCAATGTAGAGGCAATATTATACGCCTTAGACCAGGTGAACAATAATGAGGACATATTGCCAAATATTAAACTTGGTACAACCATCCTAGACACATGTTCAAGCCCCCTACGTGCGTCCACTGAGGCAATGCTGACTTTGAGTGGTGCTCAAAACTTTGGTGTTGGTAGACCCGGAGATATTATGGCAACAATTGGAGCATTAATAAGTGACGTTTCCATGGAGATGTTACGGATAACTGGACCATTGCAGAAAACACAAGTATGTTATGAGTTTGTTTAATTTAATTTTTTTAATAATAATCACATGAATTTGTATTTATCAGTTATTTGATTTTTACACACACTCATCTCTCTCTTCCATTCAGGTCAGCTTTGGTTCCACCAGTTATGAGTTGGAAGATCGTGAAAAGTATCCAAACTTTTTACGCACTGTGCCCTCAGATGATCGACAAGCTGATGTGATGGTTAGCCTATTAATGAAGCATGGCTGGATATATGTATCGACTGTCAAATCAGACACAGTGTATGGAAACAGTGGGATGGAAGCATTCATCAAGAAGGCTAATGATGCTGGAATCTGTGTGTCAATAGAATTGACAATTCCTGTAGCAGCAACATCTGGTAATTACTTATCAGTCATGACAGATCTTCTAACAATGGGAGGAGATAAAGGATCAAATGTTGTTGTTTTGTTTACAAATCACCATGACACGCGTGAATTGATGAAGACAGCAAAAACGTCTGCAAGACCAATGCCAGATCAGCCATACCATTTGACATGGGTGGCCCCAGATGCCTGGGGTATATATAGTGATGTTGTTGCAGGCCTCTTGGATGAAACTAAAGGTGCATTTACAATCATTCCTCTTCAAGTTCCACTCCCTTTATTTGAAACATATTTTAGAAGCTTGACGCCGTCGGATAATTCTAGAAATCCTTGGTTCAATTACCTGTGGGAGTCGATTTTTGAGTGCAGTAAAGGAACATGTGATGGGCAGGAAAGTCTTACTGATGTGGAGGATTCAAGGCTTCATAGTGCCCTTTCATCATTTGCAATAAATGCAGTTTATGCTACTGCTGCTGGGCTACACAGACTTCTGGTTAATAAATGTCCTGATTTGAAACTTTGCCAAAATTTTTTTGAGTCAACTCCACTGGAAGTGTTTGTGGCAATAGAGGAAGTCAACATTGAAGAAGCTGCTGGCGGACGACCTTTCTCATTTGCCCGAGAGGCAGGAGAGGGCGGATATACCATAATGAACTACGTGGTGGATGAGAATGAGATGGCTGGAAATTACAGATGGGTGAGTGAGCATTATATACAATGGGAGCCTTGTCGCATATTATGAAACCAAAGGGAAAGGCACAACTTACAATACATGTTTTGCCCAAATTAAAACTACTATTTTCTGGTGAATAAATTGCGCTCTAGCGACGTTGCCATTTTAAACGTCAAAATGGCATAGAACAATGCCGTTCAAATAAATACATATATTTGATTGTTTCATCACTAAATCACATCAAGTTACAAAATCTCAATAAAAGTTGCTGTATGACTATAGTTCAAAACAATCTTGAGATTGTGCACTACATGCACAGTTGTGTACAATGTTAAGTTTACTTTATGAAAAAATATCATACATACACCTTAAATTTAATTTATTTATTTATTTTAATTTTTTTTTTATTTATTTACATGTAATCACTTCCAGGTGGGTGAATGGATTGATAATGAGTTGGTAATAAATGACAGTCTGGTGCAGTACTATGATTTTTCTGGGGACCGGCAACCATATATCAGATCAAGATGTCCAAAGTTCTGCACTGAATGTTATAAGCAAGGTGTTTCACCACTCGTCGTTCCAGATAGTCCGCCGTTAGAATTTTATGGAGACACTATATGGGCTGTAATTATACTTGCTGTCTGTGCAATCGGAATGCTTTTCTGTTTTGTTATATTTATTTATTTTCTCATTGAATTCCGCCACCCTGTCGTCAAAGGAGCTTCATCCAGTTTGAGCTATTTTTTACTTCTGGGAATTACTTTACTATTTATTTTAAACCTTGCCTTCATGCTTTCCCCTACCATCAGCGTGTGTGGGGCACAGCGCTTTGGACTTAGTTTCTTTCATGCTATAATATGGAGTGCTCTTCTTTGCAAGATTATTCGCATACTACGTGTATGTGGGAAAGGTGAAATAAACACCAAAATTGCCTTTGTCAGTCCATGGAGCCAGACGTTTCTAATGCTGGCTTTGTTGACAGTTCAGCTGGTTATTACTGGTGAATGGTTGATTTTGGATCCACCCGCTGTTGAACATGAGATACGGGAAACGAACACGAAACCGCCATATGAGCTGGTCTGGATGTGTAGTTATGACAATAAATGGCTGGTGACGTCATTAGTCTATGTTTTTATACTACTATTAGTCACATTATGGTGCGCAGTTCCTGCAAGGAAGTATTCTGAACTTCTACATGAAGGGGCATACATCCTGTCCTGCTGTATTGTCTCTATTTTCATTATGCTTGCTTGGATCCTCATATATATGCTTGCAGATGAAGAATACCAACACCCCGCCCTGTGTGTTGGCATCACCACAAACGCCTTCGTTATTCTGGCTCTCATGTTTATGCCTAAAATAAATGCATTGACTACTCCCCGTGCAAAGGATGAAGATGATGGAACTACAGGGAATGATATGGGGAAATCGTACGTCTATAGCAATCCAGGTATGTACCCGTACTGTGTGTATACACAGCATCGCAGCTTATTGGAAGCATATATATATATATATATATATATATATTTAGAAAATAACTCTTAATTTGTGTTGGTGAATTGACGTTATTATTTAGTGATTATAAAACACATTTATTTTATTAGATCATACACAACTAATATTTGTTCTAAGTTTGTCTAGGACGGAATAATATCTCAACTTTATTTTTGAATCTTTGGTGTCCGTTTTTTTGTTTATTTACTCAGAGTTTATTGATATCGACGAGTTCCTTGCGGACAAAGACACTTAGCAGCTGTTGGTATGCTTCTTTTCAAAGCTTGATTTGCTATAGTGAATAAATTGGGTGTTAACGGAATCACATTTCAATACAGTAGTTTACCAACAGGAGGTGTACAATCACGAATTACTCTTGATCACACATATGCACGTTTGTTTACCACCCAGAATGGCATAGCGTATTCCTCACACCCCTTTAAATGACCAGACCTATTGGATGCCTCAGATAACGTACATATAGGGTGGCACTATAGCAAATATTCTTTTAAATGAACTATTATGAAAATGATTGCACTGTTATATAAATTAGTATACACAAATTGATTTTATATGAAGCAAGATGCACTCATGTGTATGTTTTGTTGCACTTTCATGGCAGTAAAAATAACAAAAATACATAACCATTAGCTCAACTCGGAGATCATAAAGTACCAGTTAACAAAAAGGTAACAACCAAATTATTAACAAACACGAATAACCTGATTATTTCGAATATCTACTCGATAGAAATGATTGCAGTAAAAGCGACACCACTATGCCAAACAAGGAAGAAATTATATCCTGTGTCCTGTCAACATGTTCGAATACAGTTAGCTAATTAAAAAAACATTTCTTTGTTCGAGTGGCTGAATATAATTTGATGAGGTTTATACATATGATCATTTGTGCGAATGTGTTTTGAAGACTAACCGTATCATTTTGTCAAAGTACAACGTATATATTGTATACATGTATTGTTAGATATCTCTTCCTTTTTCTCTAAATAGCTGCCTCTGCTTTTGTTGTTACTGTTGTTGTTGCTGTTGTTTTTGTTGTTGTTTTTCATTACATTGTTTTAGCTGACACGAATACTGACATTTCGTGACATATACAACACACTTGTTTTCACACCTTTGTTATCCATTATTGAATTTAATATTAATATTGATATACTATATTGCGTATGTGTATGGTGCGCAGTAAATGTTGGCAATTTGTATTGGTGATCGATCTGTTTGGCTTTTTTCAAGCAATTGCAACTTCAAGACTAATATCGTACATTTTCTTTCGGTAGATGTTAATAAAGATGACGAAGTGACAGCGTTTTAAAGAATCTGCCCACGTAGATTAACCGAAGACTGTACACACTGATGAATCCGATCGCATACGTAAACTGAAATTATTCCGATCAAATAGATACACCGATGGAAGATGCGACAATGTGGAGAACGCAATGCCAGTACGGGAACATCTATTAAAATTGTGCTACTGCCCAGGAATATCCATTAGGCATTAGGGTAATACCAAAATAGAAACCTGCCAAAATAAAATAAAATATTTAACGATAGTTTTATCACAAAATATTGTGATCACAGAGTATTGAAGCTGTTCTTTAATGTTTTGAATTGTCAAATCAAAATTACAGTTTGGAATTCTCAAATTCTGACAATATTAGTGTTTTATTCCGCAATTATACGCGAATTACTCTATATTATATTAACCTACATGTTGCTCACAGTAAAACATACACTTATACGAGTAATAATATTTTAGAGGCGATTTTTGATAGTGTAACAAATATACTGATAATTTATCTGTTTATTTATTTGTATTTCTTATACCACCATAAGTTAAATTATCCTTTCGAAAGTCATACCCATATGACCAATTGTGTAATATACCTATATAAACGATAACACGTGGAACAAAAAGTGAGTAACAACCTAAATCGTCAGGTCCAGATAATTGAATACCATTCCACATGACAGGTCCAGGGTTGCCTCGTGTGTAGCTCAAATGCGTCGCGATTTGTGTCGATATGTGTGGTTTCGGTTAGCATTGAGGCATATGTACATAGTTCAAACATCATTGTTCATCACCTTGATATAGAATGATTGATCCTGCGAAATTTTGTATATTTTAATCACCATTGCTGGACAGTATATACCAAGAATTATATGTAGTTTTACAGAGACAAATAATGCAGTATACTGTTCTATGCGGTGATATACAATTCTTAATTCGTGTCCGGTATATGCCCATGAATATGTTAATATGATTCTCACATTTGAAGTGACTGTATTGTTATGTTATGTTATGTTATAGTTATGTTAATTACTACTATATGTCTTTGATTGGGTATATTAGTTATTAGAGGAATTGATAGTTTTTATAGAATTTGATAATTAGAAAATGGATTTTGTGTATGTGTTTTATATTGGTGATTGGTTGTTTGCTGAATATATCTTTTGTATCATGAATACTTTTTACTATAAAAACACCCCAATATACCAATCACAAATATAAAGCGAAAAATTGTATTTACCGCGTTACCCTTGATATATCTGTATCCCAAAGAGAGACAATACAGATAGCGAACGTTTCTTCGTGGCTGGCACGTATTAACAGACAAATTAATTGTACATTTTTACGTAATGGCGAATGTAATCTGGTATCACTAACGTTATTACCTAAACATTAACTTGAATCGAGTCTTGGATTGAGGTTCATACACCGGATTCAGATTCTGAAATCACATTCACTATGCATATGGAAAATACGAATAACAATCAGTCATTAGCAAGACATACAGAAAAAACATGCGCTCATCGAGAAAGTCTCAGTATCATTCAATTAAGATTATACCTTGATTATTCGAGTTCAATAAAGTTAATTTGAGGGTAAGCTGCTTCACGCTTGTATACAAATTAATTGGGGGTGTTGTAATATTAAAAAAACACTTTGTGGTTTTCCAACTTTCATTTTATCTTTTAACATGTGTACAGACTTTAATTATTTATATTGACAGTAATTTGTTATATTATTTGTAAATATTGGGTAATTTTTCTAATTTGGAAGAGGTGAAAAACACAAAAAAATATCTATCACGTATTTTTGAAAGATGTATAACAATTAAAGCATCATACATATAAATGTATTCGTGGCGATGATAATTCAATAAATATATGTTACATGTATCTATGGCATCAACCCATTGTAACTTGAACAAATGACGTATATGCAAATCGTGTTTATGAATGCATTTGTCTATGTTTAATATGAAGTCTATTTTTGTGGGCGTATTATATGTTAACGCAAGGTTTTATTAAAATATTTATACTGTAATGTATTTATTTGTATTCATTTATGTATTGGAAAGAGGTTTATTGTTTCCTAGTGCTAACACTTTATTCGCTAATCCCGTGTGTTACAGTCGCGACACAACGCGTGTTCGAATTCCGCGTTAACAATGTATTTTTCTATGGATCCAATATCGAACACGACACAGAGTAACGAACAACACTCATCATTAAAATATTAAATGAATGTCTAGATAGAATTATTTGACCAATAACACAGACAAACACACTGCAATGTATTTATTACAAACATTATTGTAATAGTTGAAATTAAAAGTAAATATATCCAAAACAAGGATTATAATCTTGAGGAAAGGGTTTTTGAAACATCAGGAAAATGTTTTTTATTTCTATTTTAATAGTGAGATTACAATTAAATACACATGTGCGTACTAGAAAAGTAACTAACTCAACAAACCCTACAAGAAAATACTAACATCAAAAAAATAATTATATCACTTTTTCAGTCAAACCTGTCTTCCTACGTGGTGCAGACACACGAAGCCCTGAACCATGTCCTGTTGAAAAAGTACCACTAAGTTTCTGCAAAAGAGCACTAGGACTAAAAGGAGAAATGACTTTACTAGTGGGCCTACAATTTACGCTGCTAAAGGAAAGCGGTTTCAGTCTACTTTTTAAATTCTCAATCCATTTCTTAGATAAATAAATATATTCGAAAAATAATAAACACTGTAAATCAAATTTGACTAAATAAATATATTAAGTTCTCGACATAAAAGAAAATTCATGTAAAAAAAGGTTTCTTACAGTTTTAAATACTGTTCATCTGTTTTTAATTTTAAACTAAAAATATCAACAAGTAATCACAATCTAACAAATTAAAATGCAGAAATGTTTACAAAACAAAATTGGAAAATGTTACATTGTCAATATACATTAATTGTAATTAAATGTGAAATTCGCGACTGAAATAACAGATGATTTTCAGATGTTCGAGTACTTATTTAGTAACAGACCATATCTATAGAAAATATGTTCATAACCTGTTTGAAATTTGAAACTAAAAACTCTAAATTTAACCGGAAGTTCATTATATCTATACCATTTTTTAAAGACTAGTCTTTTTCCACAAAGCCCTAAGTTTAATAAATTAAATGGAATACAATTATCTCATAATGTATTAAAAATCCCAGTATACAGAATAAGACAAAAAACGTATAAGGTAGGAGAGAAAGATTTTGCTGTGAGCTATGGAAAATTGATGATAGTAAAATTTGAATTCTCATTAATATATAAGCAAAATTAAATCGACAAACAATACGCTGCATATATACGAATGCTCACTTCACTCATGTGTAGGACTCTTGTGGGATATAAAGTTCGATAAAATGTTGTGACCTGCAAGAGGGAAGAGAGGACTTTATTTTCAGAGGAGTCTGACTACAAGAGGTTTAGGATTCAGACAGAAATGACAAAGGGCGTGTTTTTTGAAAGTCGTATACGTATTACATTTGCACGAAATATTCTAACCTTTCCCTAAATAATTATATATATATATATATATATATATATAGTCCCCCGGTATTCTGAACGAAGGTGACCTCATCGCCGAGAAGTGACTCACCGTATAGCGCTCGTATCCCCCCCCCGTGCCGCAGTCTATCCATCATTGCCTGAAAAAAAGAGTGGAAAAATAGAGTGTGCAATGTCCCACAAACAACAGGAGGTGGAAGTCCACGAGATGTAGATCACTGTTAAAAACTGACAATCATGGACTGCTGACGTCCCAGCGATGGTACTCGGTGTCTGGAATGAGTAAGCATAACTTGCTGACTAGTCACATCCATCATGATTGGTCGCATATTGTGATACATGTCAAGTAATACGAATCTCATTTGTAAAGTCATAAATGATCTAAATAGAGTCGTAATTTGTATTAGTGTCGCATACGACTTATTTACCACTTCCGTGTCACTGAGAATGTTCTAGAACCGTACTGTGTCTGGGTGGAATATTCTAGATTTTTTTTAGAAACTGGTTGAATAGGTAATAGAACACTGTAGGAGGCAATAGAAGGTAATGGAACATTCTAGAAATTTGTAGTAAGTTCCAGCTTCATTATGTATGCTGATGTAATGGTCTATTTATAGACAGTGTGGGTATATATAGGGGAGTTGTTCAGCACTGAGTTCAGATCGGAGATCTCGTTGAATTGTATTGGAGTTTAATCATTGGAGTAGTGGAGTTTTACCGCGTTATTGTACTTGATGTTTGCAGAGTATAATAATACCAGTACCAGTTGAAACCTCATCTGTTGGCTCCGTGTTCGTATTTTATCATCGCCGCCGAGAAAGTCTTCCTATTACTGTTGCCATTTTGGTATTTGAACCATCACACCTGTACTATACCAAATACGGTAATATTACGTTGCGTGTGACAATTAGTATAATATAACTTTCTTCTATGTGAGTGTACATGCATGTAACTATCATATGCCATATCATGACACATCAGTGTTAGTCATAATAATTGGTGCAGAAGTTAGTTTTGTTAGTGTCGTGAATCTTTCATCCAAGCGGAAATATTCAACAATTATATCAATAATTAGCACACTAAAGTCCCACTTCTGCTCTACCACATGTTCTGACATTATTTCGACATATATTTTAAGTAACATCGAATGCATATGTTTTATATATTGGAAACTAAGAGTTCTATTCTGTTACTGTTATTGTGTATTGATGTGTACAGGTATAGGTTAAAGTTGATTATGCCTTCATAAGAAAACAACTGATGATTAAGATCTATAGACGTATCACACTTGTTAAGGCATTGAGTGAATTTTGTTAACAATTCTGCACGAACATTCAATAGGGTGCATGCCCCCGATGAGATATTTTATCGTAGAACAATTTAATTACACAAATTACACCTAATTACACAATGAACATAGAACACTTTCCCGGGGTATTTGAAACCGAAATTGTCATCTAACTGTATGGTCGTTGCTGATTGGCTTCTGAGCTGGAAGGACAATTTTTGGTTTCAAATACCCCAGAAAAGTGTTCTATGTTCTTCGTGTAATTAGGTGTTCGTAATTAAGCGATTTCTCCACACACATTTGTTATCGGTTGGCTTAATATTACCCCCAATGTATCGTATTTCTGTGAAAGATTGGTATTTTTGCCCTGATTTGTAGGAATCTTAAAAACGCGTTTTACAACTTGTCTTTTATTTAGTTTTATGCTGCATTCAAGATGGCGGATCATATATAGTAATAAATATCGCATTTATTTTATTATCACGTGTGCGCCAGATGACTGTGCATGGACCCTATACCCAAGAACTGCATATTGATAATGAACATCGTAATGCCCAAAATCTAATGTCCATCATGATCGAATTCCAGATGAGCGGGCAGCGTATCTTTGTTCGAATCCAGCCTTCTCCTTAGCACATAAAAAATTGTAATGCTTATTTGCGTTCACTTAATCTATATATAATTACAAAGAAAATTTATGAGAACATCGAAAATTTGATTAGAGTCAACGAGTAAAACTCGAATACAGGACATTTTGTGTACATAGAGTCCTGCAATTGATTGAGAAGCGCTTAAAGCGTACAACTGCCATTGCAATAATGGATGCAACATCTAATCAGCAATATTGCCGCCTAATTGGCTGACCATACAGCTACACATTGGAACTCACAATATGATTTTGGGTCACAACATTCTAAAGAGGAGACAGGCGAGCTACATTGTGGGAGGGACATAATTGAGATAAATTTGGTACGGAACATTATTAATATGCCATGTATATATCGTGTACATAGTATTAATTAAACATTTGAAAACAAAATAAATAAATGAGTATATCAACATTCCATTCTGTTGTTCGTGGTACCAGACTAGTTGGATGGGTCAACATTTTGGTCAATAGCCAAGTGTCAAAAATATGTCCAGATACAACATTAATAATGGCTTCAAATCTTACCAGTCGCCGGCGTTTGCTAGCAACTCTTGATTGTGTGGAGTTTTTTAAAAAGAAGCAAGCCATCGACGACTGTAACCAATATGAAAAGAAACCCGAAAGATGACGGTATTTGTATGGTAATGTTTCGTCTTTCACATTTATTCCCAGGTCTAAATATGAGTAAAAATTCACAGAGTAACATTGTCGATACATTCCTCTATATTTTATCTGAAACTGGAAGAATATTTCGGTTGAAGCCGGCTGTGTTTCCCTCACAGTATCATACATCCTCATGATAATGGTGTGACCCGAATCAAATCGTGTGTTTTTATGCGCAGTTGTATGTTTGTTTTTTCAATTAGCTGATTTGATGTTCTTTCCATCATTGCGATGACAGTAGTTATATACTCATTGGAACATGGTTCATCCATCGAATCTCAAATACAAACATGTTTGCAATACACTCAATATATTCGTTCAGTATTAATACAGTAGTTTTAAAAAATGACAATACATTTTTTTAAAAAATTACCTGTTTGTTTGAGATATGAACAGGCCAATGCAAATTCTAACGTTGTAAATGTCGCTTGGTTCTTAGTAATAAGGCAACGGCCATCTTTGTTTTTGTCCTAAACAGTTCCATGGTCATTGAAACTGGTGCGCGAAGATTCATTGCGAATGGTGACAATTTGATTGATTACTTATACATTTATTTAAATTAATTTATTTACATATTTAAAATGATTTAATGCACAGAAAATTATTAGTCCGGTGCCACGTGGAGAGAGAACTAGAAAGGCACCGCGTTTAAGATGTATACATTAAGTAATGTTGATTGCGAGGTCATGCATATGGGAAAAAACTTTGTAAGATAAACATTGTAATGACAGTACAATGATCCGGACAAGTTATTTAGAATTGAAATCCACATTTGATTGATACTATTACCAGAAGAAGAAAAAACAACATGATAGTAATTCCCAAATATAGTTGTAAAAAAACAGTGTTATATTTTTGGAAGGATGCCTTATTTGCTGAAGCAAACATTGAGTTAAAGGGACACTTGAATGCCGCAAGTTTCGGGCACAGGGTCTGGGTAGTGATATGATTGATTTCGTAATGATGTTGAATATTGGGATACACTTATATCAGCTCAGACCGACTCACGTTTACATTATATTTTATATACACCAGTTTGAATACACTCCAACAAAATATTAGGATCTTCAAGTTATCACTAAAGCAGATCAGTCAATGTCTGTATGTGTCAACATTAGTTAAATTCTCAATGCGTTTATATAGTTGAATGTGTTGTCCTGTTGTTTTAAATAATATACTGTCAAGATATAACAGACAGAATCAAGTTATTCAGAAGCAAATACAATGTCTTCATTCTGAGAACATAACGTCAGTAAGCATAATAATAATGAATAGTCAAGAGTTGTTTTACTCATCACTCAATGTACATGCACATAGGTGAAAAGCCCATCGTCGTAGAAACAACTTCCTGTGGCGTGGGAGAAGTTCTCCCGAGTGTAAATAAGTTGCGCCCATCAATGTGTCGAACACACATTGATGGATTGATCATCTTAATGTCCAGAACTAGTTTTGCAATTAATTAATTCTCCAGGAAGCATTGCAATGATTTTGTCTGTGTTGACAGATAACTGTGCAGGTAGATACGAATACATCTGAGCAGACCGGTATTTTTCTGTGTTGTTCGAAATAAAGGTGTTGCGCCACTTACAAGCAATAAAACTATGACAGTCACGTCACGGCAGAGCGAATACTCAATATTCTCAAAGGTTCAGTTCACGTAATCAACACGCTTGTAATGTGCTGATAACAAGCACATCCTCGACACTTTGGAAGTGGGATGATCTTCTCGTTTTAATACCTTAAAATGCGTACTTACTCCAGGTTGCGAATGGATTGGGAGTGAAATATTTCTATAAATATCAAGAAAGCACGATTTTTTCCAATTGAAAAGTAATGTCATACTTAATGTGATCTTCTTTTGCCTCAACAAATCATAACCTAGTACGATCTTTGTAAATTATTTGAACAATCTTATATAAAAGGCTATGTAACACATGTGTTGTAGTTCCATGCTGTAAAAGCAAGTATAAATATATATCACTAACATAAACGCCAAACATAAACGAGACGTCTCAGAAACACAAGATTTCATAATAATGACTAGTCAGTCTATTATTTCATATTTCTTCATAAGATCACCAACAAATTGTGATCAAATTAGATTATGAAAAGTAGGTCACAGTGTGGGTGAATGAAATTGCCTAAAAAATGTCCAAAAACAGCAGTGGTTTTCAATTGTATGACACTGCAGTACCGAGTAGGATCGATCATAAAATGAACGTATATGCATAATATGAAAGTTATTTTTTCAGTGAACGATCAATGTATTTAGTAATTGCCTCAGACATATCAACACAAATGGGAACCAAATTAAAAGATAATGTTTACAGACTTTAAAGTACATATATCCAGTATAGTTTGCAGACTTTAGTTTGTGTAAAAATCATCTTTACTTGCATGCATTTTGAGATAATTGAATATAAAGCACATTATTCACTCAAGCATAATAATTGAAAAATATCATCTTTCAAATAAGCAATATACTACATTTATTTTGATTGATATGCTAGTATTTATTGTACACCATAGTTCATTACAACACACACCTAAATACACATATAACATGTTTAATAATGCTGTCACTTTTTATCAATAACAGTTTTTAATGGATAATTATATATTACTTCAATTATCTGCTGGGATTTCTATTTAAAATCACACTTCGTAATAAACAGTGAATGATGAACATGTGCATATAGTGCTGTTTAAAGTGTCTGGAAACCATTATTATCTCATTCCATCATTCCATCAAAAAAGCATTTGTTATAGTTCTTGCCCATCATTCAAAATTAGAGATACATTAAAGCAGATGTCAATTTTTATTCACAGACTATTTGTGTAGATGTAAAGATGAATTTGCTGTAGTATATCTTGTTTCTTCATTCAAATCAGGTTGCATTCTGATATTGTTCCTAACGTGTTATTGGGATCTTGGGGTTATTAGGTGAAATATTTAATGGCACAAATTGTGGAAAATGTTAGCCATTTTCACCTGTGCTCTGACTGGCCCGCAATATTTTAAACAAATAACCAAAGGAGAATCCGAATTGATCACTGACACTTAGTATTTTCCTGTACGAATTCAGAATATCAAATGATTTTCCCCAAGACCACAACCAACTGAGGGAATGACAACCTTACAAATTGTAAACTCAAAATGAAATATATGATATATGTCTATAAAATCACTTTCATTTATTTGAAATCAATTTATTTATTTGAAGGCTAATTTATATTTCCAAACCAATTTTCTGTGAAATATTAAAATACATTAATGCTTCATTCTGAGAATAAGTAGTTAAAATATTTAAGGTTTAATATCACAAAGAACAACACTATGGCAGTATAATAATCCCAAAAGTTCAAAGCAAATTACAGTCATAAATAAATCATAAAATATATACAAACCAGATACCCAAAAAAGTAGTATTTCATAATTACAATTAATTTAAAAACACAAACCCAATGTTAAAAAGTGTACCATATTTAAAACAAAAAAATATACTTTGTCAACGTTAAAATAAAGAATTATTAAAAAATCTCCTTTTAAAACCAAGCTTGGCGCTAGCTTGAAGAAATCGCATTTCATATACAAGTTTTATATGAAGCAAGTTTGTAATTGTTTTAATTCCAGATGCAGATTTATTTTAAATGCTATTATGCACACAGACACAAATAACATGCGACACAATTCATGAGTCAATAAAAATGTTCTTTTAACCAATCACACTATAGTATTCATGCCCATTCATATACATACCAAAACCAAAAAAATACCAAATGACACTAGCAGAATACAACTTTCAAAAGTCATCCTCGCTAGTGATGCATCACCATATAAAACAAATAATGCATTATCAATGCCCGCCCATTGATGACATTTCAACATCACAGAAGAATCTTGTTACAACTAACAAGATAAGTGTATGAATTTTAACATATCTGTTGAGTATCCGTAGCATGCTGGTAATTACAGTGACAGGTCTATTGACTGGGTGACAGGTATCCTGTGGACTTCACCTTTTTCACTGAAAGGTCTATTCAGCAGGCTTGACAACATTTAAGCATTTCAATAATATATATATAAATATTATTTGTTCCCATATTTACAATGAAACTTCTGTCAGATTCTTAAGTCTTTCATGTTCATGTCATTAGATCCATATTTCGTGTTGGGCTTGCTGGAAAAATCTGAAATAAACAGTGCATAACTAAGTGCCCACCGGCTACAACATTAGGAACTCTTTATGATTATTTAACTTTTTCACTACCAGTTTCCTCTTTTCATCACAAAAAAGTCCTGTTTATAGTCTGCACTTTGCTTCAGAAGATTGGGGCAAAAATAGCCAATTTATTTGAGTAAAAATCGAAAATTCACTCAAATTTTGTCTGTTGGCTCCAAAATTAGGGTTCATTTCCAGAAATAAAGAATATAAGAAAAAACGTGCAGAATAATTTGGGTGAGAAAGTCTGGTGGTGAAAAGGTTGATTATATTTGTTTTCATATTTTACATTTGTTGTACATGAACATAACACAGTGTGGCGACTGTGGTGCTTGAAATAAAATTTCTACCCCAAGTTCTTGAAATAATAATTTAGATGAAAAAAAATTCAGCATTACTGAAGATTATTACCATTTGGCGTGCAATGCATTTTCAAACAGAGCATGATATATATATAAAATAAGAACAGTGTTTTGACAGCAAACATAAAGAAAATATAAGATCAAAGAAAGCTTAGAAAGAACTCTACTGTGCTGAGAGTATTTCAGATGTATTAAAAATTATTTTGCCTTCAAAACAAGAAGCTTGGCAACTAATTTGTCAGCTATTTGAGATGCACTATGTGAAACACTGTGACCCACATTATTGAAGTTTATAATACTTAAAGAAAATACATTTGATCTGTGGTTTTCAGTTTAATTAATTCCAGAGCACCTCTAAATAAATTCAAGTCTAAATCTTCTCAATGAAATGTGATATGTACATTATGCAATTAGTATGCTCAAATTTCAAATCCAAAACTAATCAGGTCTTTAGCATTGTTCCCAGACACTTATATGTATATACCAAGTCTTATTGAAATGCAATAATTGTTTTTTGAAAAACAATTAGTAATTATCATGCAATTAAGCGATAGATTTCAATCCCAAACTAATTAGATCTGTGTATTGTTCCAGGGCATATATTTACCAAGTTTCATTATAATATGAATAGTAAATTATTATGCAAATTAATTATTATGGATGTATATGAACTCAAAACTACTTAGATTGTTGCAATGTCTTCGAGTATGTATGTACCAAGATTCATTGAAATAAGATAAGTACTTATTGATGTAAATATTGATAGAAAAGCTGAACACTAATTACTATGCAAATTGGGTAATTAATATGCACAGATGTTAATTTAAAACTAATTAAGTCAATGGCACAGATTATCTATGTACCAACTTTCATTGAAATGTGATTAAAACTATGAATTATTATGCAAATTAGGTAATTAATATGCACAGATTTACACCAAAACTAAACAGGTATGTGTATTGTCCTAGAGCATCCATGTACCAAGTTTCATTGAAATTTGATGATAGATCTATGGTTAAAGTGATTAGAAGTAGCATATCATGGGTAAGAGTTTCATATTCTGGTTTAACAAATATGAATATTATACACAGATTATCTAAGTACAATTAAATATCTCAGTTGTATTTACCTGGAATGGTTTACTCAAACCAAGTAAGTTATCACTCAGGCTGCTATAATACCCCAACATGTACCGAGAGGTCAGGTCAGTAGGTAAATAAACTGGTTCAAATACAACATGACAACCGTGCTCCATGTTTTCTCCATCTTTTATTGCCCATACATAAGTGATATAGTCTTTAGGATGTCGGAAACCAACCTGAAATCGAGGAAATGACAAAATGTGGAACAATTACAAGTTGATATCACCGATAATTACAATACCAAATTGTGTAAATAAATCAATGAGACTGTCAAAAATGTTGTCACTGATGCTATGAAAAATAGAAAGAACTTTAAGTTGTTTTAATTTGCAGCACTTTGTTTTAGTGAGCCCTTGGTCAAAAAGGGTCGCAATAAATAAATGAATAAATAACATCAAAATCCAAAAATTGGGTTCTGCGTTCAGTGGTGATAGATTGATTGTATACAAATACCATATCAGAGTACTCACTTTATAGAGAGCAATCCAGTCCCATGCACTTGTACTAGTGTCAATATCCACCATATATATACACTCATTTTCCTGATATTGTTTCCAGTCTTTAACGGAATGAAACTTGATCAATGGTTTGGTGTCTGTACTCTTTAACTAAATGTGTTAAAAAGATCACAAAAATGCTAACTTGAGTTAAGTATCTTGAAAGCAGAGGATACAGGCTTTTTTAAGAGTATTTCCAGCTGCCTAGTTGCTATTTCTATAACCATGGCTGGTATATCCTAACATTTTAACTTGCGTATATTCATTTGGTACTTTCTTTTGTACCGGTATATCATAATTATGTCAAAAATATAAAGATCTAAGAGAAAAATTAAGAGTTTTGTTTTTAAAGTATCACATACATATTTATATGGGTATGTCATCAATTTTTCAGATCTTTTTAGAGATCGATACCACTATCATGGGCATAGTTCTTGTTCTAGCAACCAAAGAAACAAAAAAGGTACTACATGTATGAACAGACTTACACCAAGAATAAAATCAGCGTAGACTGGTAAGTGATCACTCCATTGTACTTTTTGAATACTATTATAAGTGACAAGTTCCATGTTTAGGTCCACATGTCTAATTCTATCTTTGTTAACTTTCCATAATATTCTATCACACCATGCAGGTTTCCGCTGTTTGCCGCTGTGAAAGAAATCAAACATATAATAAGAAAGATGATCAAATTTACAAATATTAGATTGATATTATAATAAATAGTGGGTATTCAACTTAAAAAATTGTACTGTTAAAAAAGTGTCACAAATTATTGATTTTGTTTAATGGGTTTTTTCCCAGTATGTAATATCTGTTCGGAGAAAATCTGCTTAAAAAAAGATCTTTGAACAATTTCAATTGAAGGCCATATTAAAGTATTATCTTATAAAAAATGTCCTAATAATTCATGACAATCATATTTGTGCATCAAATGCATTTCAAACTAATAGCATTACAGAACGTGGTAGAAAATTTGTTATTGCATAAACAGAAATGCGCAAGATTATCACAGTATTAAAAAATGCAAAACACACTTAATACATGGTTTGCAATGGCCCAAGACAACACACTAACCAGTATTTTTCATTATCGCTCATTTGCATTAGTATTGCTAGGAATGTATAGTTGTCATGCGATTTTATTTTTGTGGAGCTTTTAGTCACCGCTGTTGCTGTGGGTGAGAGCAACTATATTTCAATAATAGACTTATATATCATGTTGGTCTTTAAGGATTAAGCAATAACAATGTTATAATGATGCAAAATAATTCAAACCACTGAATGATTTCCACCCTGATTCTGTCAGGAAAAGTTTGTTATTTATACATCTGTTGCTAAAGTGCATAATCACAGATGACAACAGATGTGCACAGAGAAAACTGGAACAGAGGACAGGTTTTTATAAAGGTGATTGATGGTGATGGTTACTTCATGTTGGACACAAAACTACTACTTCACAGCTGGGAACCATTATATTTCTGTCAATGATATTAACATGTATACTGTCATCTATACAATGAACGATGAATTATATCGTGTTTGTTGTCAAATAATAACAGTTGAAAGGGCAATGTGGATATCTTACATTATCATACATCTGACATCAAATACAATATCACTCATCCATCAGTAAAACGAATGAGTTAGAATGTTTTGCCTATTTGGAAAATATGTGTCATGCTTATGTCATATTAGAACACATTCATTCAAGCTGAAACTCTGGTTAAAATTGTGATTAAATTCTCACATACAACAAAGTTATTTTGTCTTTCAAGTTTTTAACAAGCTGAAATTAGCGATAAAAGCCCAGGTGTTCAGGGATTCAATGATG